CATGGATCCTCAGGGAGAGGATTCCCAACCCTGTAAATAATAGTGGTATAATAGGATATAATAGGAGTGTATGACGACCCTTGTAGAATAGTTACTGGGCGAATCTTCATGTGCCATGAGCTGTGCTGAACCTGAAGGCCGGCAATAGTTGGGGTAGTTGCTTCTGAGGGCAAGTAGTTGAGGTTTCAAGGCCTGAGTGGCTGGGTGTCAGGATTCGAGGGCATGGGCTTTGGAAATTGCAGCCTCAAGGTGTTGGGTCCTACATTCCGACAAGGGGTATATGACAAGTATGGTAGTTTCTGGAAATTGGGACTGTGACTAGTCCCGAATAGACTAATGCTATATAGGGAGGAAAGATAAATATCCAATTTCCAGAAGCTCCCTCACTAAGAAGGCCTGCTTGGAATACTTGTCACCCTTACCCTAATANNTATAAACATCTCCAACATCCAGGCTTACGGAGGACATGTTTTGGGCAATTCGGGTTATAAAGCGGATAGAATGGTAAAATTGCATCCGTGTTTAGGACAGTGTTCCAAGAATTCGCATAATTTGCATATAATGTTGAGCAAATGTACGTTTTCGGGGCCATGCTGCATGGGAATGAAATTGGAATGAAATTACGTGAGAAGTCAACCTTTAGATGTTGCAATGGTTCCTACTTTGCCTTTGGTTCCTAAAATCTTGGTCCTTGACTTCCAGTTCCTACAATCTTGGGCCTTAGCCCCAAGTCCCTCATATAGAGGTCCTTTGGTGTCGTTGGGTAAGAAGGCCTATATACCCCCTTAAGATTCGGACATTTGCAGCTCGTGCGTTGCGGGTTGTGCTGGATGGGGAGCTTGCCTCGCATGTGCTGGTGGGCAAGGGTCTCACAGGATGTACATATATACATGTGTATATATATATACATAATATACAGGGTCCCTTTGAAGAGGATATGAGCTCCCTTTGAAGGGTGTCAAAGTATAATATAAGGCTTTCAGGGTTTGGGAGCCTAAAGACAGAATCATGAAGAAGTGGAAACAGACATGGAAACTTGGAGGTCGATGGGTCGTTGCTACAACCGCATCGTAGGGACTCCTAGTGGGGTTGAGGGGTTTCAGGTCTACTTGCAGGTCTTCGGGTACTTATCTACTCACTTATACCTGTACTTATGATAGGCCCCATTATAGCATTTTGTGCCCGTTACTACAATCCTTGTTACGTGGATTTTTCCACAGGGACCGCTGTCTTTAAACTTCAGTACTCCTCTTTACTCCTCTTTTTATAGGCGTGATAATGATTGGAATTACATGGGGCCATACAGGATTGAAGGACATCATCCCAAAAATGCATAAACAAGTGGAGAGAGAATGGCTAATGACATGCAAACTGGGACCCTAGCCCCTAGACCCTAGACCCTTTATGGTTTAGGCGCCAGGTTATGTTTAGCCAAACACTTGCGATCTCTAATAGTACTATACAGGGATGTAGGCTCTAACATGGCAATATCTTGAGTACTTTCTGGCCTTGGTGTAGGGTTGAAGGGCTTGGGTTCAAGTTCAGGTTTAGAGTTCAGTATATCGGGTTTCAGGGTACGCGACTTCGGATCTAGGATGTGGGGTTGAGAGTATGTAATTTGGAATTTGGGGCTTGGGGTCTTGGGGTCTGGGGCTTGGGCTTCAGGGCTTGGAGTTATGTAGGTCTACGTTTCCCCTAAAATACTGACGCCTAAACCCTAAAATCTTAAACCCCGAGGGGTTGCTGCTAGATCGCGTGACAACATGCAGCCTTGGCTAACGCAAAGCAGCCCTGCCTGCTGACCGTGTGCGGCCGCGTTCCTCAGTATTGTAGGGGCCTTAAACAAAGCCTTGGGTAGGTTAAAGATGAGTAGTTTCCATAAATGTTGGGACCATGACGTAAACCCGAAAATACTGAGTCTTTACTAGAGACAATAACAAAACCTCTGATTTTGAAAAGCCCCTAAACGTTAACCCTAAACCCTATATCCCCTTTAAGGTACACCCCCCCCCCCCCACAATTTTGGTCAAACCCCGATGTGGGGTTACACCAATATTGCGTTTCCAAGCGTGAAGGCTTCTACACGACGAAGCTTTGGCTAGACTTCTTCTTTCTTGGGGTGTAGGGTTTCGGGCTTGCGGTTGCCTAGAATGAACCAGTAGTGGGACTGCAGAACTCTGGATAGTCTGGTGCAACCCGCACACCAAACCTTCTCGTCCACTCTAAGAGCCCCAAGCGCTAACTACCAACAGGCTAAAACTTGCGCGGCGTTATTGCAGGCTTCAACCGTCTCAAAGAACAAGTGGGGGCTAATGTACAGCCTCATGCCAGCATCCTGGAACATTAAACTCCCTGGTGCTTAAGAGGGAATGGGGGAACGGATCCCAATAGTAGTCCCTATGTAATCCCTAGTAATTATCCCTATGATCCATTCCCCCATTCCCTCCTAAGCACCAGGGAACATTAGCACTAGCATCCCCTTACCCCAAACCTGGGAAACGGGAACAGCTGCACAGGTCATACCAGTTCCATTTGCACACTTTGGCCCTCGATAGAGCTTAGTATACACATCTCCATAGGTCATTCAGGTAGAAAAAGGATCTAGGCTGTAGCTTAGGACAAAAGGCCTCCTTAACTAGGATATGCACCTGTTGTTGTATGTAACCCCATTATTGTCATTTCCATTTTCTTTTCCATCATTCCTATAATGACCCTATATAACCCCATCGTAGTAGTTTCCATTGTCTCTTCCACTATTCCTATAACAACCCTATATAACCCCATTATAGTAATGTCAATTTTCTTTTCCATCATCAGACTTAAAAACGTGGCGGTGGGAGCAAAGTAAAGAAGGTCGAACGAACTTTGGGGGGAGTCCATTACTAAGTCCCCGTGACCCTCCAAGTAGTTGGTAGGAATAACCATAAAGCTGTAGGTAATTGGGATTGCAGGTGCCCCTGCACTGGAAAGCCCAGATCCCCTGAAATGCACCATATCACATCAAGTGCATCCGGCGAGCGATGCCGCGCATCCTCCAGCCTCTCACAGCGAGCTATATTATTATTG